AGTTCGTGAGATCAAGGCCCATGTCAGGCTCTGTGCTGCCCACCGGCTCGCTCTCTCTCAAAATATATAAATAAGCTTTAACAAAAAAAAGTTTATTTGGAGTAGCTTACTACTAATCGAGTACAAAGCAAGCTCAATTAGAGTAAAATAATCAAAAACAAAACAAAACAGCAGCGATTTGAAGCTATGGTGGTCATCGAGGGCATCAGGCACGCACAGCTCCATTTGGAGCCCGGACCCAGAAGCAGGAGCAGTGGGTGGGGTGGTGGGAGGAGTCCTCACCAGTCAGACTTGCATTTCTCTGGTGACTAACGACATCCGGCATCGTTTCGTGTGCTTAGCCTTACGTGTATGCTCTTCAGACAAATGTCTATTGAAACCCTTGGTCCATTTTTAATTGGATTGTCTTTTTACTGTTGAGATGTAAGAGTTCTTTACGCTAGATACTAGACAATCAGACACATGATTTGCAAATAATTTCTCCCATTCTAGGTGTCGTCTTTTCACGGTCTTAACAGTCTTAAGAGTGTTGCACACAAAAATTTTAAAACTCGATGAAGCACAATTTTCCTCGACATTTTCTTTTGTACCATGAATTTTAGGCATCTTTTCCAAGAAACCATTGCCTGATCTAAGCTCGTGCAGACATAACCCTAGATTTTCTTCTAGAAGTTTTATGGCTTTAGCTCTCATGTTTGGGTCTTTGGTGCACTGTGACTTAATTGCTATATGTTGTGTGAAGCAGGGATCCAACTTCATTCTTTTGCATGTGTAGGTTCAGTTGTCCCAATACCACTTGTTGAACGGACTGTTTTTCCCCTGTCCAATGGTCTTGGCACTCTTGTCGAATATCATCTGACATATACGTATGGGTTTATGTCCGGACTGGAAATCCTATTCCATTACTCTAGGTCTACCCTTATGCCTGCACCACAGCCTAGCTTTGTAGTAAATTCTGCAGACAGGACCTGTGACTCCCCAACACTGTCGTTCTTTCTGAAGGAATTTTGGCTAGTCAGGGTCCCTTGTACCTCCATATCAAAATCAGAATC